TATCATTTAAAAAAAAAAAATCTGGAAAAGTTGCCTTACTTTACATTGCCGAACTTTGTTCCCTTTTTGCTTTTGCCCAGGGTGAGGGGATGATCCCCGGATCGCTGCCGCTGGGAGACATCCGCATGGGCCTGTGCGTGCCGCGGTCTTGCGAGGCCGCCACGCTGCAGGCCGCCCTCCAGGCCGGCCTCGACCCCAGCGTCCGCGTCCTCGTGCGCCCGGAGAACTGCCAGGAGCACGTGACCCAGGCCTCCATCTCGCCCGCCGCGACCCTCTTCTGGTAGAGACCTTGCCGGTTCCCAGGACGCCGTCGCCGTCACACACCGTCACCTACAACGCCTTGATATTTTGTATCCGTTCACGCAGGTGCCTGGTCGTCGCACTCACCGCCGTGACCGTGGCCGCGCCGGCCTTGGGTGAGAACGTTTCCAAGATCACACCCCTTGCACTTACTGCGTAGTCACTCGGTGACGGCACGACATTGCGTGAGAAGGTTTTCAATGTCACACCGTGTGACTGCTGTGTAGTCACTCGGTGACGGCGCGACTTTGAGTGAGAAGGTTCGCAAGGTCAGGACGTGCACCCTGCTGCATAGTCACTCTGTGACGGCACCACCGTGCGTGAGAAGGTTTCCAATGTCACACCGTGTTACTGACTGTGTAGTCACCCGGTGACGGCGCGACCTTGGGCGAGAAGGTTTCCAAGGTCGCACTGCGCTCCCTGCTGTTTAGTCATACTCGGCGACGGCGTGACCTCGGGTGAGATGGTTCACAAGGTCGCGCCGTGCACTTGCTGTAGTAACTCGGTGACGACGAGGGTGGGCAACCCGCCCGCGAGCGTGTCATTCTGTACCACTACTCAGCGAGTGCACCGCACGTGCGCACATGGCGTGACCAATAACTTCTGCGACCGACTGTTGCGGCGCGCAGCGAGGGTGCATCACGACAACGTCGATAGAAATGACGGTCGGCGCCGTAACGACAGTATCGCTTTTCCATCGCAGGGTGGAGCTCCTGGGACTGGAGCAGGCACGTGCGCACGCTCGCCCAGCCCGACCCGTTGGTGTCGGGGATCGACCTCAGCCCGCTGTCGGGCATCCGGAGCATCAACGCCATGTACCTCGTGGCGCTGCACCGAGGGCTGCACGCGGCCCGCGTGGCCACCTCCAACAGGGAGTACTTGACGTCCTGGGTACGTGTGGCACTGTCTCACTGTCGTCATCGCCGTTACCCGTCGTTGGATCTTTACTAACTATTGGGACGCGTCCCGTCCGCAGGCACGCTCCCGCATGGAGTACGCGGTGCTCTACCGCGGCGCCCTAGGGGTGGACACCTTCTTCTTCCTGGCCGGGCTGCTCCTCGCCGCCACCTCGACGGCCGACCGGAAGTCCTCCTTCTCCAAGTCCATGTTCAATAGGGTCCTGAGGTAAGCGCATATAATATGGCGTAGCGCGTTGGAGGTCACAGAATCAGAACTCTCTATATGTCGGCGTATCTATGGCCTGGGGATGCAACAAGCGCGCGATTTTCTTCTTGTAACGAGACAGGGTGGGGCCCGTGTACGCCATCGTAGTGCTGTTCCACTGCACCGCCCTCCCCGAGATGGGCGCGGGTCCGCTGTGGGTCGAGGTGGCCCAGCCGATGGCTGAGTCCTGCAGGAAGTGGTGGTGGTCCAACCTCCTGTTCCTCAACAACTACGTCAACGGCGGGACGGCCGAACCGCTGGTGCGTACACTCGCCTGCTTGTCCCAAGTATTTTACAAGCACACTTATCGAGCAATACTTCACTCCGTTGCCGCAGTGCATGGAGCACTCCTGGTCGCTGGCGGTGGACATGCACATGTTCGTGGTGGGGACGCTGCTGCTGGGCCGGCTGCCTTCCGGACTGCGCGGCGTGGCGTTGCTGCTGGTGCTGGCCGCGCTCGCCACCGTGCCGCTGGCCGCGGCCACCCTGCTGGGCGAGTGGCCCGGGACGGTGGCGTGGACGCTGCGCACGCTGCAGGGCATGTGGGCCGAGCCGCTGATCCACCAGGCCTACATGCCGACGCACATGCGCACCGCGCCCTACCTGCTCGGGCTCGCCGCCGGGAAGGCCCTGCCCATGCTCAAGGTCAGACCTCATCGCACCCTGGCAACCAGTACAAAGTTGGTTTTGCCGCGTGTGCTAATGCGCGAGGGATCCTTCACTCAAAAAAAATCATTGTACACCCTTAGAAAAAATCACTAAAAAATCATGAAAAGATCACTAAAAAATCAGAAAAAAATCACAAAAAATCAAGAGAAAATCACAAAAAATCAAGAGAAAACCACAAAAAATCAATTATAATAGAAAAATCGGTGTACGCCTTCAATTTATAGTGAAGGACCCCTCGCTAATGCGTCACCTCGACTCCACCAGGACGCGGGCTTCAGGCCCGGGCGGGCGGTGACGCTCCTCGCGACGGCGGCGAGCCTGGCCGCCATGTCGGCCGTCATGTGCTTCAGCGCGCTGTTCAACGACCTCCGCGCGCCCTACTCGGCCCTCGGCGCCGGGCTGTGCGCCGGACTCACCCCTTTAGCCTGGGCCGGCGCCCTCGGCGTCCTCGTCACCGTCACCGTCTTGGGGGAACCGAGTGAGTACCCGGCGCACGACCTCGCGCAGCGCGCCGTCTCTCTACCCCAACCTCTGACGTCTAACGTCGAACCTCTGACCTCCAACTTGAACCTCTGCTCTCGCAGCTGCGGTGCACTCCCTGCTGACCTGGCAGCCGCTCGTGTCGCTGAGCCGCCTCACCTTCGCCGTCTACCTCGTGTCCTACCCGCTGCAGGCTCTGCTCACCGCGGCCAAGAGGGACGCCGTCCGCATCACCCCGCTCACCATCGTAAGCCTATGCATTAATGATTACAACTAACGGCCCATCTGTTCGCGTTGAAGAATTGTAAGCTTAAGAGTGGGGAGATGTTTGCAGGCAAGAGACGCGCTCAGTGACAACGTCATTTCATTTGCCGTAAGTTTCTGGCTGTTCGTCGTCTTGGAGGCTCCTATCCGTTCTTTGGCAAAGAAAGCTCTGGCCAGGTAAGTTTTATTTTACAGAGATGCATAATAAAACCGCTCCCATTAAGTGAACACCCGTGTAATCCGTTTATCTTTTCTTTTTGTAGAATGGATGGTTCGTCCAAATCCCAAACCAAAACTGAATCGAACAAAAAGTCAGACTGAAGCCCAGAAGGAATGACCGTCATTTGGCGTGCTTTTCGTGGACTACTATCCTAGTGCGGTTAATGGTTCGTCATGAATACCAGTCCGACCCCACAAAGTCATTTTATGTTACTATTTAAATTATGTTTATTTATGTTTAGTGTAAGTGTTCTAAGGTGTCATCGGCCGAAAAAAAAATGTATACATGAAGACTCACAATAAAGAGGATTTTAATAATAGTTTTGCGAGCAGCAAAAATGTCTCTTGTCCCTTTTGCAAATCACACAGCAGTCTGGTTCTGGCGAAACCACACGCACATACTAGTTCTTAGGTGCTGGCGAAACCACTCATCTCCATTTTCAGAGTGATTTTCTGAGACCTATGCCGTTTGAAAGAGGGCGTTTCCCTCTTCCAGAATATACAGTTATCTCAAAATTTTCGAAAAACATCGATTCGCTGGTTTTGCCAGCGCCTTTAAAACTGTGCGTATGGTTTGGCGCTGCGCCGCCGGACCGCTGCGGCGCGTGCTTTGACGGGAGGCTCCGGGGCGGCGTTGCGTGGTGTCGGGTGTCGCTGTGCGTGCTTTGCAATAAGCGATGTGTCGATGTGTTCATGAGTAATAGCCAGGCGACGCGAACGTGTCAACCAATCGCGCAATTTGGCCGGCTTCCATTAGGCGCACACTATCCGTCCTGCCCCCCCTCGCGCCGAGTCACTTTTCTCTACCCTTCCCGGGACGGGAGCTGGTCACGCGACGGACTGCAGTCGGTCGCGCTGCCCGGCCGCGGGAGGACCAGGAGCAGCAGCAGCAGCCTCGGCGTGCGAGGGCGGGTGAGAGGCGAACTTAGAGGGGTCTCAATCGATTGACCAAGGGCCATTAGACTGCGGGCGCTTTTCCGGTTTGGTACAGCCATTAATCTACAAGTCGCCTATCCAGAAAAGAAAACGTATCTCTAGAAAATGTACAGCAGGTTGACATTTTTACTTTCTGCGTGTGATCGTTTTGAATTTTATTTCCCACTGGTTACCAGCAGCGGGGATCCCGAAAACTGTTCACCAAGAAAAATGAATTTTTGATTCAAGGCAAATTTTGACTTGTTTTCGCCACTCTTGGTTAATTGAAGCTGAAGCCATTTTTTATTTTTTTCTGAATCAAGGAAAACTTTTCTTCGAATTGAGAAAATTAAAGGTTGAATTGAGAAAATTGGCTTGAATAAACCAAGCCAAGAATGCCATTTTCTGGGTGTGGCATTTCATAGTTTCAGATATTTTCTTGTACGATCGAAGGGCTCCGTGCTCCTGTCGGACACACGCGGAGTGACGCAGGGCGTGCTTCTGTTCTGCTGTAGTTCCCAGATCCTCATGCTCCAGCCGGGGGCCGCTGGACCAGCCGACGACGCTCAACTTGTGCAGTGCGCTGTACACGTGGCGACTGCTCACTTCCCCCGACCCGGCATCCTTGTCGTATCTGCGTCCCTCTGGTGGGTAGCTGGAGGGTGTAGCTGCTCTGGAGTGTGTTAATACCCGGAGGAAAATAGTTTCGAAAGCACAAGTACTCGTTCTTACGGCGTGGCACCCGGAGAAACCCTTACGCGACCTTATTTTTTTGTGTAGGGGCCCTCATTGCCTGAATGTTGAGGGTACACGTGGGGCAGGCGACCTGACAGACACCTAAAGTACTTCAGCTTTCGTAGTACTTCAAACTGTCCAAACTGTTGTTGTTTGTTACAGAACGGAAACATTTTTTCCCCCACGCAAAGAGGTGATCCGAGGTGCGTAGTGCGTAGGTGCCCCCAATTGTATATTTGAGTGTAACCAAATGATGTCCTGATTCCGACAGCCACCCCCTGCCCTCCCCTGTCACACGCCGTGGGGTGACTAAGGGCCGCACCCTTTGTCATTCTGCCACCGGTCCGCGCGCTCGCGCATGTAACATCGCACTCAACCTGTGTCCTGTTTCCCTCCAATTTCCGTACCGCGACGTCCCCTCCCCCTTTCTCCCGTGGCAAATAGCCTCCGTCAGTTACTCAAAAAGATTGCTTCCTTCTATAAAACGGGCGAGGATTTTTTTTCTTGACTTTGTTTCAAGGCAAATTTTAGGCCGCCTTTCAATTGTATCTTGTGTTGATGGAGCGACCTTTGACTCACAGGGTCAGGAAACTCCTACGCATCGAAGACAGTTTGCCTCTCATAACCAGACTTTGCTTAGCCGTGATGTCTTCTGTTCACAGCGATTTTTCGGCGGCTGTAAGCTTGCTTATAATTTTGCTCAACCATCAAATACTGTGGGCGGTTGAAAACGTGTGTGGAGCGGAAGAGCATGGACAAGGGTGCGTTCTCTTACAAATCGCGTGGCTCAGCTGGCAAAGTGAACAAAACATCTGATTTTTTTCTTGGTTTCTATAGCACGACTCTTTTGCCGCCAAAACCATCCTCGTATATTCTTCTCGTGGCCCCTAGTGAGACCTGGGAGAGGGACTTTACTAAACAGGTAAACGTGAATGTAATTTCAACAGGCATCGCACAAGCGCGTTTTGCTGAATGACATGTGCCAAAATTTGCGGACTGTAGCGCAGTGGTCTTGAAGCCAGTGGTCACCAAACTATGCAGCACCTTCAGAACGTATTCTGCTTAAGGTTCTCCTACTCCGCGAACGGACCAACTGGAATGCAAACGCAGCCTTTCTAATCCTTCTGTTTGGAAATACTCGGGCCGTCGACTTCGTTTTTAGCGAGCTGTGGCACCACATGGTTTCAAACGCAGCTGTTGTCGTGTCTCAACCAGGTGAGAGGAAAGACTCAGCTTCTTTCATCGGAGTGTCTTATGAAGCGGAATGATTTAAAACAAAAATATGGTACACTTTCACTTATGTTTCGTATTTGTATCACAGACGTGTCCGTGCTGGCGTGGTTCCCCATCTCTTTCCCCGAAGAGAGCCCCACGGAGGCGGCAAGGTGGGAACACGGTCAGCTCGTTGAGGTCAAACCCCTATTCGCCCGCCAGGTCGCCGTCGGTAGGCTGGAGAACCTAACGCTGAGGGCTGCTACCTTTGACTGGCCTCCGTACGCTATTGTAAATAATGACAGGTACTGTTTCGTTTTGCCGTCGCTACAGAGGTCTGTTTAGCAAAGGTACTCTCTGTCTGTACATTGCCAAGAGTTGTGAAGTTAATTCACAACACCCGTGTACAATTTCGTAGAAAAACGTCGTGTCATTTTTTTTAGTTACAAACACTTTGTAATTCTAGAATCAAATGCTCACGTGGCACACAATCTACCGAAAAAAATACATGCATCAATAAACAATGATGCGTGTTTCCTTTCGAGGGAGCGGAGAAGGGCTTTTAAACAGAACGTGTTGTTTCGAAACTTCACAACACAGTTGGTGTACTGTAGCAACATTGATTTCTGTTGTTAGTCAAATCCTGAGAGGAAATAAAAACTCGTCGTTCTGTAAAATGTCATCTGTGAAGTGGTGTGTACTTTGTTCGTAGCGGTCGCGGTCGTTCCGTGCGCACCGGCGTCGAAGTGGAGTTGCTGCGCGCCGTGAGTGGCGCCGTGGGCTTCCGCCTGCTGGAGGAGGCCCTCCTCGACGGCAACAACTGGCCGGAGCTGCTCAAGCGCCTCAACGAGGGTGAGTAGAACGGGACGAGCTGCTGCTCTGACGTCTGCATATAAAAGAGTATCGTATAGCTATTATGGGAGCCGTGACACATCCGACAGGGACCATTGACGTCGGCCTGGGCGGGTTCATCCCCTACCCCGAGCGCTACATCTGGTTCGACGCGTCCGCCTCGTATCTAGAGGTGAGGGAACGCGGCGCGTGTTGTACGTCATTGGGAGCCACCGACGTACAGGGGTATCGCGGACATTGTCGTCTCACACCTGCCCTTTCCAGGACAGGACGAAGTGGTTCGTGACGCCGCCCCGGGCCCTCACCGTGCTGGAGTGCGTCTTCCACGTGTTCCGCCCGCGCGTCTGGACCATCATCTTCGGCATCTACGTCGTCATCGTCGTCCTCGAGGTCGTCTTCGCCAGCTCCAACGCCCTGGACTTGGCGCTTTACCGAGTAGTTGAATCAGTCATTTAATTTCGGTTAATGGACGCATAACAAACGTTTCGCGGGTCCCCTTCTTCAAATTAAAGTTTTAAACATGTTTCGAAAAAAAACCCGCAGAGCTGGCCCGCGGTCGCGCTCGACTCGTGGCGCCTGCTGGTGGACTCTGCCCTGCACGCGCTGCCGGTGACGACCCGGGTCCGACTCCTCGTCGCCGCCTGGATCCTGGGCAGCATGCACATCAACCAGGCCTTCAGGTCCGTCCTCACGAGCAGCCTCAGCCGGGCGCAGTACGAGCGGTCGCCGAGGAGTCTCGACGATTTGGTAAAGCATCTGCCATCGGTCACGGCAGCCCCACTGCGTTAGCCTGCACGTGGGCCAGCGCCCCAGGCCCAGGGTGCCTGTGCACAGTGACTGAAGTACAACTGTCGTCATACATAACCTACGTACAAAATTTGTACGTAACTATGCATAATATCAATTAAAATTGTGCGTACGTTACGTATGTGCATAGTTGTACGTAAGGTTCGTATGAAATAGTACATAGCAAATCTGTGTGTGCATATAGGCCATCCCGCCGCACAGGCGAGCGCGGCGGGGCGGCCAGCGCGCCTGCACGCCTGTGCGTAGGCCATCCCGCCGTACAGGCGAGCGCG